AATAATTATCTCTCGACAAGTCACCTTCGATGAGAACACGTTTCCATACAAAACTGTCACTCCTAATGAGCCCCCATCATACTTATTTCTTGATGGTACCCCCTCCCCTATTCGTTTCCATATACATTAACCCTCAACAAATGATATCTCCTCCAACTCTTCTACATCTCCTACATCTCCTCAAACCACTACCCCCACACCCACTACTACTCCTATATCTGAACCTCCTTCATCCAACTCACATCCCTCAACTTCAAACACCCCTCTCCTACTCCTTCTCTCGCACACCCCATGACTACTCGTCTAATAAGTGGGATAGTCAAGCCCATTTAAAAACTTAACCTTCGTGTGTCTTCCATATCTCCTATCCATCGGTCTCATTTACAGGCTATTGAGGACCCTAACTGGCGACATGACATGCACGATGAGTATACTGCACTTATCTCGAATGAGACTTGGACTCTTGTGCCCCGACGCCCAGGGGTTAATATTGTTAGATCTATGTGGCTTTTTCGTCATAAATTTGATGCAAATGGTACTTTATCTCACTATAAGGCCATACTTGTTGCGAATGGTCGTAGTAAGGAGCAGGGCATTGATTGTGAAGAGATATTTAACTCGGTTGTCAAACAGGCCACCATTCGCACTGTTCTCAGCATAGCTGTCTCCCGACAGTGGCCTATCCACCAGCCAGATGTAAAGAATGATTTCTTCATGGTCACTTACAGATGACCCTGACCATGTTTCCGGGACACCAGATACCCCGACCATGTGTGTCACCTACAGAGATCTGTGTGTGGCCTCAAGCAGGCACCTCGAGCATGGTATCATCGCTTTTCTCAACATGTCCTGACTATCGGATTTCAACACAGTTGCTTAGACTTCATTTTATTCATTCTACACACTCCATACACTAGTACTTATCTCTTACTATATGGTGATGATATCATTCTCACAGCTTCTTCTCCAGATTTGTTGCAGCATATTACGACCAAACTCGGTCACGAATTTGCCATGACCGACCTTGCCATCTTAACTATTTTTTGGATATTTCTGCAGTGCGATCTCCTACAAGCCTTTTTTTTTTCTCAGGCGAAGTACGCATCCGATATTTTGGAACGTGCAAAAATGAAAAACTGCAATCCTTGTCGTACACCAGCCGAACCAGCCCACAAATTGGATGTTGATGGTACTCCAGTTACGGATCCTACCTTGTTTTGCAGTCTTGCAGGTGCTCTTCAGTATCTCACATTCACCAGACCCGACATTGCATTTTTAGTCCATCAGATATGTTTATATATGCACGACCCACGAGAGCCTCATCTACATGTTCTCAAAAGGATCCTTCGCTACATTCGAGGAACTCTTGATCACAGGCTACAGCTTCACGTCTCCCATTCCATGTCCTTAGTTGCTTACTCTGATGCTGACTGGGGGGATGCCCAGCAACTCGGTGATCGACCTCCGACGATTGCGTATTCTTGGGGGAAAACCTCATCTCTTGGTCCTCCAAACGACATGACACAATCTCCAGATCTAGTGCAGAGGCAGAATATCGAGGCGTTGCCAATGCTGTTGCAGAAACTTCATGGCTTCAGAATTTGTTACTTGAACTTCATTGTCGCACTCCAAAGGCCACCATTGTTTATTGCGACAACGTTAGTGCTGTTTATATGTCATGCAATCCGGTTCGGCACCAGAGAACCAAACACATTGAGATTGACATAAACTTTGTTCGTGACAAAGTTGCTCTTGGACACATTTGGGTTCTCCACGTTCCATCATCAGCCCAATACGCCAATATATTCACAAAAGGACTTCCATCCAGTTTATTCTCTGATTTTCGATCCAGTTTAAACGTCCGCCTCATAACTCCTGATAAAACTGCGGGGGGGGGGGGGGGGGGGGGTTAGTGTATATTTGTATTCAACCCATGTATAGCCGTGTATAGCCCACTTATAACATAGTATTGCCAACCCATATGTATGTACGTGTATTTATATTGTGAGGGTACTTCTTTGCTTATTCAGGGAATGATACTGAATATTAATAATTCATATCCCTACCTAATGGCTACTAAAGGATTTTCCAAAAATACCTATACCGAATTTACAAAGATTCTTTCACATTAGCATGCAGTTATACATATGACATGTTATTTTCATATACTACTTTTTATCATTAAGTATTACCCATAGTTTACAGAAAAAAGTTGTTTACTACTTTACTTATTGTTAAGGGCTTCGCGTTACTTAACAATGTAAGATCTACTTACTAAGTATACTTAACATATTAGGATTTAAACTCAATTATACTGTGTCGGAACCGCTACATATATTTTGTTTTTGACAAAATTGCAAAAATGGTCCCTATGGTATGCATTTTTTGGGGTTTTGGTCCAAACCCCGACTTTTTTGGATTGACGGTCCTTTTGAGCTAGTTTACATGCAGTTTTGGTCCCTGTCCAAACTAAAAAGACTATTATACCCTTAATGAATTTAATTTTTATTTTTCTTTCACTTTTTAAAATTGTTATTATTATTAAATATAAAACCGGGCCCACCTCCCTCTCTCTCTCTCTCAAAAGAACACTGAACACACACGATTAAATTAAACACATATACAAATCACAAATGTACACACGAGGGGGAGAAACAAACGAGAAAGGATCTTGTTGGGTTTTTGGAACTCGATTTCAAAAATAAAAACACACATACACAGTCAAATCAATTTTTGGGGATGGACTCATATACACAAATCGATTCCGATTTCAGGGTTTTTTTTGTTTCAAAAACGATTTGAAGAAACATACCTAAACCACAAGCACACAATTAAAGAAACTGGGCCACACTGTTATTGTTGTGAAGCACTGATTTGTGTAGAGGAATTAGACAACGCCACTGCTTCCATTTTCTTCATGATTTCAAACTTTTGGGGCGAAAATGGAGGCACAGAAGGTTGGCTCTTGTAAATCTGAGCATACACAAGGTCATTATCATACTCGTTTGCATTTGAATAGTGGATGAAGGATTGTAGATTATACTCTCGGATTCAGGAATCATTTGAGATTCGTTCTCATTACCTTTCAATCGAACCAAAGCAGCAGATACTCTAACCTTCTTATCCACCAACTCGATCGTCTTCGTTGTTAACCCCAATTTAGGTCAAATTGGAAGCTGAAATCGACGAATTGATCGATCCAAAAGAGGAACAAGTTTCCAACACCATTGATTCCGGCACCGAACCCGAATCACCACTGGTACCACCCATTTCCCTGAATCCCAATTGTTCATCATATTCTCACCATTCCTTCCATCAATTCAATCCGAGGAAGAAGAGAGAGAGAGAGACGAGACCGATGAGAGAGAGAGGAGAGCGAGAGTGGAGAGAGGAGAGAGAGAGAGAGGAGAGGAGAGAGAGAGAGGAGAGAGAGAGGGAGAGGAGTGAGAGAGATGGAGAGCAGAGAGATGAGGATGAGAGAGGAGGAGAGAGAGAGATGGAGAGCGAGGAGAGAGTGAGAGAGCGTGAGAGAGGCGAGAGGGGGCCCAACTTTATTATTTATTTTCTTTTTCATTTAAATTAAATGGAAAAAACATAAAAAATAAATAAATCAGAAGGGCATTACAGTCATTTCAATTTACCGAGGGACCAAAATCATAAACAAACCATCTCAAAAGGACCACCAATCCAAAAAAGTCATGGTTTGGACTAAAACCCAAAAAAATCATACCACAGGGACCATTGTTGCAATTTTGTCTTAGTTTTTTTTTTTTGCAAATCTTAAAAAAGTTGGCTTATCCTAACGGATTACTTGGACTTATGAATCTTACTATATGATCCTCTTTTTTGCAAATCTTAAAGAAAATATAATTATTTTCTCTAGAAGTTGGTTTGTATAGAAAAGTTGATTTGTTTTTTATGGTGCGTGCTAAGAGTAAATAATCCACTTTCGACTAACAAACTAGATTCTATATGGCGTGCGATATAAAAAACTTACATGCTAATAAACCAACTCTTTATTTAGTATACAGCCCGAATAAGTATTCCAGTTGAATTCTTATAGTAAGAACCATTGAGCAACTAGTTCCCAAATAGCAACGAATAGTTCGAATCGTTTCGTTATTTTTGTGATTAAATCATCTAATAAACATAGCCCGATCTTTAATGATTCTAAATTTTGAAGACAAATTAGACAAGAGTCCAAGCTATAAGCTATTAGCCTATTAGTCTATCACGGTTCTAACCCGTACCCACGAACCCGGGTCCTGAGTCCGGGGAGTACCATCCAAATTCCAAAGTCCAAACAAGTTGCATAGTAGAAACTCTACCAAGACATTGTGATTGTACCAATAATTGAGGGAGTAAAATATCATTTTGTGTAATGTTTAGACCCTTATCCCCAAAATTAACCCAAAATCATTAACATCAAGATTTTGTATCTCCATCTCGCACCTTGAGCTGAATACGATCGATTTACCTCCCGTCTCCCTCAATCAAGTTTGTTATTAACAATTGAGAGGGAGGGAAAGATTGAGAAAGAAGAAACCATGGATGTCGAATCCCACTGAAGTATTATTTGTGACAAATGCTTCTCATCGAGCTGCTGAAGAACTCGCACATCGCTTAATCTAAGGTCTCAATCTCATCTACTGTTGTATTTCTTTATTTTAACAGATTAAAACCCTAATCAATTCATGTTCAGGGTTAGTTTGGTTTTATAACAAGCTCGCAGCTTTCAATTTCTTGATTTTGACTTTGATCGCAACTTAAAACATAGGGCTTTCTCCTCTTTTAAATGGGAGAAATTAGGGTTTCGATATTAGTATCATTTATGGTGTTTAAACCGGAATTGAAAATTAGGGTTTTCAATGGTTGTGTTTATTGGGCGAATCTTGAAATCATTCCCTTTTTTGTATCAGCTTACTAGAAGAAAGATGGGATTCATGCATTAAGAAAGTGACACAGTTAGGGTTTTGATTCGATTGACCTGAAAATTCGCAATGGGAGACGACACACCACAGAATGTAATGAATCTCGACCTAAATTTAGGTCCAGTTGTTCATCCTTCCCGTGAAAACGAACCAGGTGGTTTAAACTTAGAAGATTGGTTAGATGGGCCTGTAAGGGAAGTGATGAACCATCGAACCATAGCTAGACAAAGATGGAGGTCCATATGGAGACCCGTTCTTTTCCCCATGGAAACTACAAACATGGCTCTTGAATCGATCACCGGAAGTGGTCCAAGCGGTCCAGAAACCGGCGAGGGAAGCGTGGCGGCCGCCGGAAGACCGCCAGCAAAAGCCTGTGATAACAACAACGGGTACCCAGAAAACAATCTTCAAGGAGAGAAAGAAGAAGTTGCAAAAAATAATGAACATGAAGGTGGTTTTTTTGATTGTAATATATGTCTAGATATGGCAAGTGACCCTGTTGTGACATGTTGTGGACACTTATTTTGTTGGCCATGTCTTTATCGATGGCTTCATATACACGAAAAAGAGTGTCCCATTTGCAAAGGAGAAATGAGTATGAAATCGGTTACTCCAATTTATGGGCGGGGCAACCCGACCCGTGTTGTTGTTGAAGAAGATTCGGGTCTAAAAATCCCTCATAGACCACAAGCAAAAAGAGTTGAAAGTTGGAGACAAACTATTTCAAGAAACGCGTTTACAATGCCAATGGAGGAAATGATTCGTAGGCTTGGGAGTCGGTTCGATTTGACCCGTGATTTGGTTCCGGGTCAACCCGAAAACCCGCGAGAAGTTACAAGTAATTCGTTATTGAACCGGTATTTGATTTCTAGAGGCTTTAGAAGGGAAGAAAATCTTGAACCGGATTCGAGCCCGAGCCCTGAACCGGAGTTGAACCGGCTGGGTCAACCCGAACCGGCCCGGTCAATGGAGGACCGGGATTCGGTTTCGAGTATTGCTGCGGTTATACAATCGGAAAGCTTGACGGTTGACACTGCTGCTGAAATTGATTCGAGGGTAGTTTTGTCAACTTCATCTTCTAGAAGAAGAAGTGAATCTTCTTCTAGGGTTTCGGATGTTGATAGTGGAGATTCTCGTGCTCCTAGAAGGAGACGTTTGATTTAACACGATGTTGTGGAATGTATATAATCTCATTAGTTTTGCTTTGTGTAAGTTTTTATTGTGTTAAAATAATTTGTGGATCTTCTTTTATAATTTATGAGGAAATTGCTTGTTTCGGTTTTGGATGTGATTTTGGTAAAATTGGAGAAGTATTTGGGGGATGTTTTTGTTTTAATGTTGGCTTTATATTATGAAGCAATGTATTTGTTTAAGTACTTCACTATTTTTATTGTGAAAAAAATAGTATATTAGTTGATATTAAAAAAGAGATAATCATGTTAGTTGGAAAATATATTCTTTTGGTAAAATTTTAAGAATGCGTCAATGATTCGTTTTCACTTTTCATAAAGAATTGTATAAAATTCAAATAAATAAAACAAAATTATAATTAAAGCTTAATTCTATAAATGAATCTTTTTGGCTTCTTGTCAATTTTTTTCAAAATTAATAGAGGAGTTTATTCAAGGACGATGATAAGTTATACTTTTTGGCAGTCTTTTTTTTTTTTAACGGAAATTATTACATCGTGGAATTTTATCCAAACCGATTTATAGATTTTTTTTCTCAAAAAAAAATTTATGCAAGAAAAAACACGTACTTAACGTCTTAACCAACCACTTGACAATTGCAGGATTGATTATTGTCCAATTAAAAAGTTATTAATTAGAGTAAATTACATGAATTGTCCTATATGTTTTGGTGTAATTTGAAAGTTTAGTCACTAACTTGTTTTTTTAACTTGTTTTTTTAACTCGGACCGTACCCACTGTTTCATTTTGTTGCGCATTTGGTCCCTACCACCCTTAAAAAGACTATTTTGCCCTTAATAATTCTTTTTTAATTCTTTTATTAATTATATAATTATTTATATTATTAATTTATTAAATTTTTTAAAATAAAATACTTCCCTTACTACCCCACTCCCTCAAAGTTATTGTCCATCTACAACACCTCCACTACCATCAAATCCCGTCATCTCCTGCCATCACCACTGATCATTCCGGTTATTCACCATCAGCGACCACCTCCGTTCCAGCTAATCTCCTTTACCCTTCTAAAAATTAATCTAGAACCTGATGAAATCTAAAATTCAATCCTCAAATCCATTACTGCAACCTAAAACCTAGAAATCAATCAAAAAGCGAGCATGTGTTGCTCTCCCAAAAATCAATATAAACCCAAATCTATTTGATCAGATCATATATCAGGATCATGTTATCATAAAAAAACCGAGGGGTGTTGGACTGCAACATCGACAAAACTAGATCGCATTTAGGTACCAGATATGATCAATCACCGGGGGATGAAATCCTAGATGTAACATCCGGATTTCCAGGTACCATATTTAAATTGTTTATTTTGAGTTATGAGGAGGGACTCGACGAGTTGACGCCTAGACTCGTCGAGTAGGATCGCGATTTGCTGACTGGATTAATGAACGGACTCGACGAGTCGATGGGTGGACTCGACGAGTCCGCGCTGTGGGTGGAAACCCTAAATCCGCGGGCTTGTGCCCTATTTAAGGGACCTTATGGCCCTCATTTGCGGCTACCAGTCCAGAGAGAGAAACCCTAGTGAGCTTGAGCGTGTGGTGTGAGGGGAAGGGCTATTTTAATCCTTGTTGGTGTGATTTTTGCAAAGAAGAAGGGGATTCCAGCAAAAGAAGGTCAAGGGGGTTGCTATTCTGTGGTTTCAAGCAAGGAAGCTCCATCTTTGAGGTATTAAACCGAACCCTTCTTCTGTTTTGGGGTAGAACCCTTGAATCTAGGGTTTTCTCTATTCTTTATTGGCTTGGATATGATGCTTATGATGTCCCTTTGAGTGTTAAACTCTGGATCTGGACCTTGAGAGGTCCAGGGAGTCCCAAGCATCCAGCTTTATGCATTTCCAATGGAGTTTTGAACTTAGGTTGCCATTTTAGGAGCTATTTCACCAAAAAAGAGCCTTATGAGTGTTGCATGAGTATAAAGGTCAGACCTTTACGTGACTTTCGAGTGCTTAAAGGTCAGATCTATTAGTTAGAGAAGCAGATCTGACCTCAGAAGGTCATTTGAGTATGTCTATGGAAGGAACTCGCCAAGTCCATAGGGAACTCGACGAGTCGAGTCGGGGTTGCCCCGCGATTCATGACCAGAGGTAACCCGTCGAGTGGAAGGTTCACTTGACGAGTCGAGTAAAAAGACTTAGAAGGATTCGGAGGACACGCTTGGACTCGCCGAGTCACCCGAGTGCACTCGACGAGTCGGTCAAAGTTTGACTGTTGACTGGAGTTGACTTCAGTTGACCTTAGGGTTTTGGTCAAGCTGGTTCATGAGAGATCAGGGAGGGGTAGAATGGTCTTCTACCCATCCTTTAGAAGTAAGGACATGAGAAGGTATTGATTAGAAATGTTATTATGTTAATAGGAGGAGGCTAGGTCGGGTTATCAAGCAAGAGAGATTATCCGACATCGTACGAGGTGAGTCTTCTCACTATACTTTACCTAGAGCGGTAATATGTGTGACCGGAAGGTCTTAGGTGCTATGAGGAGTATGTGATGTATGCTGTTATTTAATATGTATGTGCTATGTTATGTTATGAGTAGTATGTATGGACCGGAAGGTCATTATGATATGGACCGGAAGGTCATTATGGGTAGGACCGGAAGGTCTACCAGGATTATGGGACGGAAGTCCCCTGAGACACATGGACCGGAAGGTCTTGTAGAGCTATAACCTTGAGTGGCGTATATGCGTATGTGGTATTTTGGGGAACTCACTAAGCATTTATGCTTACAGTGTTTGTGTGATGTGTTTCAGGTACCAGTGAGGATCGCGGGAAGGCGCCGACATGATCTGTACACACTGATGGGATTTATGTATTAGAGATCTTGGGATTTGTTTTATTATGATGACATGTGATACAATGGATTCTTATGATATCTTATGAATGAAATTATGTTTTAAAAATGAAAAATTGTTTTGAAAATTTACGTTGTTACAAGTTGGTATCAGAGCCTTGGTTTGAGGGATTCGGATGCACCTCCGGGCGAATCTGAACTCAAACTGAGGATTTGAGAAAGTTTTTCATAAAAGAAACAATTTTTTCTCTAAAGAGTAAAAGGATTTGAGAAAAGCGGAAAGAAGCAGTGTGTATGATCAGTCAGCGCCCGAACGGTGATTTCCCAAAATACCCTTACATTATGTGTTATGAGATATGATATGATATGTTATGTATGCTAGAGTGGGCTAGGTATTCATGTTAGGACTAGAGTGGCCTGATTTGTGATGCCTTAGCCTAGGAGATTACTGCTGCTATGAGATGCTTGAGAGTGAGTAGGTAGCAGTGAGGAGCTTATGAGGGGCATACCGAAGGGCAGCCTGTGCTTAGCGAGAAGTGGAGTACTTGTGATCTGGGATCCTAGGAGGAGGACTTGGGGTGAATACTGATGCGGTGTGGACGGTGGTATAGGGCCCGTACTACTGAAAACACCGGATCAGTGCGTAGTCCAAGAAAGAATCCTTAGGGTACTAAGGAACAAGTAGGGATGGGTTATCGAGTGCGTGCATACTCGAGCGAGTCTCTGATATTTTTATATTGTATTTTAGAGACATCATGGTTGGGACACGCCACAGAGCAGAGACCAGCGGCAGAGATACCAGAGATGTTTGGGTCTATCAAGACCACCCTGATTGAGACGTTTGATGAGAGATACGCAACGGTTACTGAGGCTGCAGCCGCTGCAGCTACTGCAGCTGTTGCTGCTGCTAGACCTCAGGGGGTGACTCGTTGCTGTTCCGAGAGTTCAGCAACACGAAGCCACCAGAGTTTGATGGGACGCAGGATCCGATTGCTGCGATGAGATGGATTTCTGACATTGAGGGATGCTTCTACACCTGCTCGTGTCCGGAGCATCTGAGAGTACGGTTCGCGCTGAACCAGCTTCGCTTGGGGGCGAAGGACTGGTGGAAGTTTGTGTCGGCGGATTTCACCCCTGCTGAGCTTACTGCGGTGACCTGGGAGAGGTTCACCATTATGTTTCGTGATGAGTACGTTCCCCCGGTGGAAAGGGAACGGCTGGCCCAGGAGTTCTTGTCCCTCAAGCAGGGTACTGATTCTGTTACTGTGATCACCAGGAAGTTTCATGAGAGGGCGATGTTTTGCCCTAAGCATGTGTCTACCGAGCAGGCACGCATGAGCCGGTATCTGAGCATACTGAGGAGAGACATTCGTGAGTTCGTGGCGAACTCGACGTACCAGACGTTTTCCGAGCTTCAGGCAAATGCCCGGAAGAGGGAGATTGAGCTAGAGACTCAGGCCAGGGAGGAGGCCGAGTCTCAGAGGAGTAACAGGCGACCGGCACAGGTACAGCCGGCAGCCAAGCGGGCTAATCCCGCTGATACGAGATCTGGAGGCCAGAAGGGCCGCACTTGTGGAAAGTGTGGTAAGGGACATGACGGAGTGTGTCGGGCGGGTGCTTGCTACAAATGTGGCAAGGAGGGGCATATAGCCAAGGACTGCCCCAAGGGATTTATGGTTTGCTTTCATTGCAACCAGACGGGTCACCGGAGGGCCGAGTGCCCACAGCTGTCACAGGGATCAGCGCAGGGATCTGCCCCTACTACTGCACGAGCTACTGAGGGTCGGCCAGTGAAGGCCGAGGCACCGAAGGCTCGCGGGAGAGCCTTCCAGTTGACAGCGGAGGAGGTCCGCGCATCGCTCGATGTCGTGGCTGGTATGTATTCATTCATTTATTTATGCTGAGTTGAGATATTGTGCTTATATTATGATATGCGTAGGTACTTTTCTTTTGAGTTTTGTACCTGCTTTGGTGTTATTTGACTCGGGTGCGAGTCGATCATTTGTGTCGTTAGCGTTTAGTCAGCACATCAGTATTCGACGAGAGGCGTTGAGTCGACCTCTACGAGTTTCCATAGCTGACGAGCGAGCGGTGTATGCTACTGACGTGATTCGAGGATGTGTACTCGAGATCTTCGGTGTTGAGTTCCCGATAGATCTGGTCC